GGGGGGGTGGAGTTCCCCAGCAGCCAATTGCCTAGCCAGCAGCAAAACTGGTAGTACACTTCTGCTGGCACTTCCAGTTTCGTGACTGGTGCTTCCAGGGGGTGCACGGCCTATCTCAGGGGGTGCACATGCACCCGTGTGCGTCTCACCAGTGTCCAAATGTGTAAAGAAGTTCATTTAGATTGGTCTTCCTATACCCTATCTAACTTAGTACACCCCTGAGGTACAGTTAAATTAAATGAAGTCAGCCATTTTTTGACCAATCCAACCTTCCTGAAACTTTTGTACAGTTCACAGATTGACCTATATAAGAGTCTAAGTGTAAGGTCCACATGTGGGTGAACTAAGTTAGATCAGGTCATCATTTTTAACATGATCTAATCTCCCCCTAAACTCTCCAAACTTCTGTACATACCCTAAGGCTGATTCTGATTTGCTACTTCATAGTTTGTTCAACTAAGCAATTCTCTACTCTGGTACAAATCTAGAATAAAGTCATTTGATTAAACTGTTTCCCCAAATCCAGTGCAAGTGAAAGGGGAATCAAGACAAGAAGCTTTTCTCCAAAAGCTTGTGTTAAATAAAAAATAATCTCCACTCTCCCGTGGCATGTGGCTTATATTAAACGGAATCTACCTGAGTAAAAGCTGAAGGACTGGCCACATCATTTTTCTGTGCAGTCTAAGTAAATTTCTTTTTCACTTTAAATGCAGGGCTTGTGGTTCAGTACACAAATGACAATGGAATCACCTGGCATTTGCTGCGAGAACTGGATTTCATGTCTTTCTTAGAACCGCAGATAGTTTCAATAGAACTGCCTCGTGAAGCTAAAACATCTGCAACTGCTTTCCGGTGGTGGCAACCCCAGCATGGTAGGTAATGTGTGCTAGAATGTCAATAAGCAGCCTTCCAACTGAATCATCTGCTTTTCCCATGCTTCTAAATATATTTAAAGATTTAAAAAATTTAATTTGGGAAAAACAACCCAAAAGAGATATGGTGCCTAGTTAGAAGTAATGGTCTGCTTAGGCTTGTCTTAGTCATAGTCTTGTTATGGTTATTTATACAGCACCAGAAATGTACATGGTGATTTGGAGAGCAAATAACTACACAGATCCTGCACCAAATGGTTTACAATTATAATGTAATTATTACTATAATTTTAATTTAAATATTTGAAGTGATAACCAATAAGAGGGAATGGGAAAATAAAGACAGTTTAACTAAAATGATATGGGTTCCCAGGTGCTATTTATGATCTTGATGGCTAGTTTTGTTTATGCTTTTTGTTTGCAGTTTATAAGCTGAAGTGAATTGTCTTGGTTACGCTAGGATATAAAATGCAAGAGATGTGGCTTAATTAGGTAGTGATTTATTAAATAATTTTGAAACATCACTCAGCAATAAGTTACTCAGGGCAGGTGATCATTCTTCCTTGAGTGTTGACACCTGTTTTAGCTGTTGTCCCTACCCCTTCCAACCTGGCCCCAGACCACCTCTGGGACCTACCAACCTCCCCTGGCTTATGGGTAAAGTGGGTACTGAGTGTTAAGAGAGAGAATAGAAGTGGGTTCTTTCTTCATTGACTCAGACATTAAGTGACCAAACCCCCTTTTCCCAATTTCCTGAGGCCCCGCTCCAAGTCCATTCCAAGCTTGAGTTCGTTAGGACATTGGTCACTAGCCCCAAAGAGGCACCAAAAGTTAGCTTGGCTGCTCCCGTTCCTTCACCCCACCAGCCAGATTTCTAAGTAGTTACTGACTTCCCCAATGCCTTTGCAGATTTATCTGCTTCCTAGTTCAGATCCCATCAGACCTTGTTAATGCACAAAAACTTGGCAACTCCTTGCCAAGCCCTCCATTCCAACATTTCAGATCAAATAGATTTCCCCGGAAAAGGTCCTTGATTTGCCCTAAATTTCTCTGTGTCCTGGTGATGAAGGCAGTCTCTGTACAAGCCCTCAAATGAGTCACCCAAATGGCTGCTTCCTGACTGTCCAATAAACACAGTCATGTGTCTGCATTCTTGCTTATGGAGCAAGCCCTGTCTCCAGCCACCCACTGTCTATTTCCCTTAAAGGCCATACAGTCACAGCTTTGTAACAGACCCTGTCCTACCAGCGGGGTGGGCTTATGACCCATTTTCTTCTTGCTGGTGAAACAACATTCCCAGAGGGGAATCTAGTATGCAAATGTGGAAAGAAATCCAGTTGATTGGGGTTTGATGGGCTGGAGACCCTACAAACGAGGAAGATAGAGGTGGGTAGGGGGAGAAAGAGGAGAATCTTTATGCATGTCACTTAGAGTAGGAGTTTTCAGCCTTTTCCATAAATCTCTTTTGCTGCCAGGCCCACATCAGGACCCACTCTCATCTAGTCAGGGGCTCTTCCCATTTAGCAATATGGAAAGTACAGGAAGGTCAGGACTCCAATGCTGAAAATTTGCAATCTGTAAACAGAGGATCAAGAATAGGAAAAGTACATTTAAAGCAGGAAAAGACCACAAAGGCACTGGTATTCAAGTTTAAGAAATAAGAAGGAAAAGGCCTGTGATCCTCAGAAATAGACACATGACAAGGTTTGGGTGATATCTTGAGCAGCTGGCTAGGTATGTTTCTTCAAGCAATTTAGCTCTTCAGTCTGTCTCCTACAGGCCTGAAAAAACAACTTCCTGGGACTTCACTAACCTTCCAGTCCTCCTGTTTCTAGGGAAACATTCATCACAGTGGGCTCTGGATGATGTCCTCATTGGAATGAATGACAGCTCTCAGACAGGTTTTCAGGATAAATTTGATGGATCCGTGGATTTACAAGCAAGTTGGTACAGGATCCAAGGGGGCCAAGTAGATATTGACTGTCTGTCCATGGACACAGCTCTGATGTTCAACGAAAACATTGGTATGTGTCACCAAAGGAAGGTCTGTGAGCCCGTTTTATAAACTCCAGGTGTTTTGTGTCTTCATAAAATGTTTAAAATGGGAGATGCCTAAAAGTACCTAAGAATCTGTAGGGAAGAGGAGAAATGCTTGGGGGAGGGGTGGGGGTTGAAACTGAAAATGCTGATTGCAAGCAAAGTCATATACCATTCATGCCTTTGAAAATATAATTTGTTCTCTCTTTGGTTAGGAAAACCTCGTTATGCCGAGACTTGGGATTTCCATGTGTCAGCCTCCACTTTCTTGCAGTTTGAGCTGAGCATGGGCTGCAGCAAACCATTCAGCAACTCCCATGGCATTCACCTGCAGTATTCTTTAAACAATGGGAGAGACTGGCACTTGGTGACTGAGGAGTGTGTCCCTCCAACCATTGGATGCCAGCATTATACTGAGAGTTCAATTTACACATCAGAAAGGTTCCAGAACTGGAAGCGAATTACAGTCTACCTTCCACCTGCAACCATGTGAGAACTGTTGTGCTGGCAACATAGGCTTTCCTGATCTAATTTGAACACCTATACCTAATATTTGGAATATTGCTAACTACTTCTTAAATTATTGTAAAAGGAAATACTATATTATTATATTTCATCAGATAATATGAGCTGCAAGAGCTTGAGGAAGTACTGGATTTAGGTGGGTGAGCTCTTGAGCCCTGCCTACAACCTAACCACAAAAAGGGCTGTAAATCGAAAGGGTTTTCAAGATGCAGCAATTAAGTGCCAGAACTAATGCACTCATGAATACACTTTGGAATAAAGGCATTTCACAATCTATTCAACGTGTAATGCTATTTAAGTCTAAGATTTAAGTGCCTAAACTTTTACAATGACATGTCTCCACATCTCCCTCATTTCTCAAATTAAATGAAGCCATCATGACAGCAGTAATAAAGGCTGTACCTTCCATAGCAGAATAATATACCACCACGTGTGACAAAATTAATCATGACATTACAGCAAATGAAAATGTGTTGTTGCCGAACCTGCCAGCCTCCGCTTCATGGGCTGGGAGGAAAATGCTATTTTTAGAAAGAATTAAACCCTACTTCATACAACGAGCATGCAGTTCTAAAACAAACATGGCAGATGTGCTGGCATCTGCCTGCCTAAATAAAAGCAGTCTGTATGTTTAGGTATAACTAATAATGACAATAATACTTAGCATTTCTCAGTAGAGTGTTGTACTTCTTCAAACCACTCTGTAAAGAATAAATAGCTAAACCTCACACCACCCTGAAAGGAAAACACTGACCCGCCCTTTTATAGATAGAGAAACAGTTATACAGGGGAGTTACATGACATGCAAGGTCACAATACAAGTCAGTATCTACACTGGTGATAGATTCTTAATCCCACTGTGCAGTTGACAGGAAATAGTCTTTGTCATATGCATGGCCCCATCCTGATCCTGGGGCACTTTTTAACTGAATGGTAGCAGGGTCATGTCCACAGCATGTTACTTGCCTGCACAAATCTAATATCAAACATTCAATGGAATCTTAATTCTTTATTAACTTTTCTAGCTTTTTTCTTCAGCTAAATATAATACCCTGCATGATAGGCAGCAATTCTAGAAAATATATACGTACGTGTGTGTGTGTGTCTTTCTGTCTTTAATTCTAACCTGACACGTAGCAGTTTATAACCAACTGATTTATACTGGTAAATCGCTAGGTATACTGAACAGTCATTTGTGTGTTGCAATGAGCTATTGACTGCTAATGTACCTAATGTTTCTTGTTCAACCACCTTCCATTGGAGAACGGCCACATTTGGACCATTAATCTTAGCAATGGATTTACCATTTATGTCCAACTGTAGACAGATCACCAAGAGTACAGTACTGAAAAATAGGACTCAAAGAGTTAGATATTAGAAGGCAGTAGACATAACGCTGACATTTTAACTCAGCAATAATCCTATTGGAGTTAGTCAGAATTTTGTCTCAGAAAGGCCATCAGGATAAGGCCCAGTTTCCCCTCCAGAGCAGAACATGGTTTTTCAGTCTGAGTTGCATTTGTTCTTTTTTGCTAGCTCTCCCAGAACACGGTTCAGATGGATTCAGTCTGACTACGCTCCCAGTGCAGATTCTTGGGCTATTGATAATATTGTCCTGGCCACAGGATGTCCTTGGATGTGCTCAGGCCATGGGATCTGTGACACAGGCCGCTGCATGTAAGTAAATACACTTCTTTGTGTGCTGTTTGCTTCATAAAATGATGGTTCTATTTTAATTAGGCCAGAAAGATAATACCTTTTCCCACCAATATGTTTTCAGATGTGACCGCGGTTTTGGAGGTCCATATTGTGTTCCTGTTGCTCCTCTGCCTTCTGTTCTGAAAGATGATTTCAACGGTAACTTGCATCCTGATCTTTGGCCTGACGTCTATGGTGCCGAGAGGGGAAACTTGAATGGAGACACAATCAAATCTGGAACTGCTCTCATTTTTAAAGGGGTAGAGATTTAAATTTCAAAATTATTAAAATATCAGTCCTGTTCATAATACAAAATACATTTTTCTTTTCTTTATTTCCTGGAAATTTTTATTGTCATAGATTTAGGCAAGAAGTTGCTTTTCACTTTTGTTATTTTCTGTCCTGAACAATCACTGTGTTCAGCACAGATGCTTTTTCTGAATATTTAATATATTATTTCTGACTATTACTTTTTTCCTTCCAGTGTCATTTCTAACAAATCCCCCACATAGCCACTGAAAGAAAAAATTACATTTAATTTCTGTGATTTTAAAAGCTGAGTACAGAATTTGGAAACACAATTCATGTTACAGTCAATGGTATTTATGTGTCTAACTCTTGTTTGGCTTTGCGATTCTCACACGATACATTTATTTTTACAAATTTTGCATGCTGTGAATTATTCTGTAGACCTTCATATTTAACTGCATACTTAAAGTACATTAATACATTTCATTCTTATAATATCCCTTAACATTTTTAAAGCCCTGAAAGGTTAAAAAAGTATGAAAGCCAGAATGGACCCTTTTTCCCAGTTTTGCCCTTTCCTTTAAACCCTAAGGCAGTTTTGTCCACACTAGGTTTAAACTGACACATAAGTCATTTTTAATTAGTCTAATCCACACACATTGTCACACTATTAATTCAACACTTTGCAACTACTTGCAGCTACTACTATGGGTCTATAAATGAAATCCTAAAAATATTTAATTGCTACATTTCCATTCCAGTTCAGCAATTTTAGATAACCAACACAGAGTGAAGAATATTAACTGTACTAAATGCAGAATAAGTCTGTTTCCTGTTGAAATATTATAATAATCACTGACATATTCCAATCTTGTGTTATTCTCACATAGCACTGTTAAAGGTGAGATCATTTTAAAATATGCAACTATCATATTCACTCAAATACAAGGCAAAGCTTTTTCCCCCAAACAGCATGAGGGAGGAAAGCTCCTCATCTTACATTCATATGCAAAGAAATCTGATTAAATGCATTGTCAATCATGAAACTGCTGCCAAAAGCAGCATGTGCTCAGTCATGGAAACCAACTATGAAGTTGATTAAATGCAGACAACACTGAGCATGACTATAAAACACATGGCCCATTATGGGGCAAACATGCTGATTTTTCTTTTTTTTTTGGCTTAAGGCCGAATTAGTTCCAAATTCTGAATTTGTTCACATCTGTGTGGCTATACCACTGGGTAACTCTCCTCTCTCCCAGACCCATCAGTCTGAGACTTTGGATACTCCCCAGTTCCATGGCAGGCATCTTACATGCAGGCCTCAAGCCTAAAGGCATTGGAATTTGAATGCCCCCTCATCATGCTTGCTCCTAACCAAAAGGGCAAAGGAGCAAGCTAAGGGGAAAGCACAAACACAGCCCCCAATACTATAAAACTGTACAGTCAATTTCCCCACATTTGGGAAACTCACAAGGGTCAGCTCACCTGGAGTGCAAGGGCCAAGCCTCACCCTGAAAAAGCCTGTTGATTTTTTTTTTTTTTTAAGGAAAATGTTGTGTCCCAAGTCAAATCAGACAAATCAAATCCAAATCCATGAGTCATTCAAGAACCATATGTGGCCCTGCTACTGGCAAGCATTCTCCACCCCCGCCTGGGGCTTCAGTTGCTTCCAGATCCTTTGTCAGGCATCCTACGTGCAGGCCCAAGCCCAGAGGCTTGGGGTTCAGATGCCCCCGAGTTTTGCTTGCCCTGAACCACCTGGCTGCAGGAGCAACCTAGGGAAGAGTCTCTCATTTCCATAAAGTCAGCATATAGCCAAGATCTTCCCACTGGACATTACCTCACTTAGGGTACTGCCCCCTGCCACATTTGTGGTTTTCTCCAGCCAGCGGGAAAACCACCTTGGTGATCATGATTTTTTTTTTAATTTAAATTTTCCATATTCCAGGCCAAATTAGCCAAAACAAATTCCAAATCTGTGAGTCATTCCAGAACCATAAGGGGTCCTACTACTGGCAAACATCCTCCACCCCCATCTGGGGCTTCAGATGTTCCCAAATCCTTTGGCAGGCATCCTACTTAAAGGCCCAAGCCTGGAAGCTTAGGGTTTGGGTGCCCCCAAGTTTTACATAAGGCCCCAGGAGCAAGCTAGGGAGGAATTTTCCATTTGCATAAAGTGGGTATAAAGCCAAGGTTAACTATGCATTACCTATTATGTGGGTACTATCCTTTGCCAGCAGAGCAGTCTTCCCTAGGTATGATTAGGAAGCCACCATGGTGATCATGGTATTTCCCCTGCCAGGCAAGCATAGGCAAGCATACACTTGATCTGAGCCCACAAGAAGCCAAGAAGTGATCACGATTTTTTTCTTTTTTTGTAAAAGTATATGTCTATATATATATAAGGTTATATGTGTCTACACTCTGAGTATCACTCCACAAAGAAAATCTTATCCCGTTACAAAACCCACACCTGCGTACCCATACAAAGGCCTGCTGGCCACCCAAATGTGTTACAATGTCCGCACCACGTGCTACACACACAAGCAACTCCTGGTCTCTCCGACCAGGCAACCCTTTCCTTCCATCCCCACCCCACTTGCAGGGTCACATACTCAGTTCACCTGTTGTCTATGTTGCTGTCGCTCCAGCTCCCACTGGAGAACCTGCTGCTGTTGTCGCTGTCCTCAGTTCCGCTTGCCTCACTGTCACTGACCCCTTCTCCTCTCGGGGGAGGTTGGAAGGTCCTGTGCCACATATCTCTGTGCCAGGTGGCTTTGGCCGCGTCTTCTCCATCCTCCACTGCTGATTTCTGGTAGTAGGTCTGGAGTTTGCTCAGAGCCATTTTCACATAGCCTACTACCTCTACGTCCATGTGCCTGTACAACAGGAGGTTCCTGGCCTTCCACAGGGCACTCCTGACATGTGCTCTGCAGGCTATTTGCATGGGGTCACATCCCTGGGGGCAGGAGAGGAAGTTGTCTTCATGCCAGATCCCTTCCATGGGCAGTAGAGTTCAGGAGGTGGAAAGTTTGTCCACACCTAACAGGAGGGTGGGGGAGGGAACACTATCCAGGAGTGCTGAAGAACTGCAGCTTGGGCGTCTCATCTGTGGGAAGTGGCCATACATTAATGGAACATGAGCTAGGTAGCATGGATCAGAGATAAACTTGCCCTAGAGTGGCATAATTTTAAGCTGCCTAAGGTGAACTTAAAATGAGTTTCAGGTGTTAACATGTGGACAAACTAAGGGTTATGAGCTCTACACACCACAAAAAAAGAATATGTAACAAGGCCCTTAGTTCTGTTTCTTGATTCTTTTATTAACTCTTCATAGTGCTTATTTGCAAGCAAATTGAATTTTAGAAACACTCATGTAACATATCACAGTAATTATTAGCTTTTCTATAACATTTTCATCAGTAGCTCCTAGTGCACATTACACAGGAGTATCACTATTCGTATTTTACTAAAGTGGTATGAGGAGCTGAAGTGACTTGCCCAGTAACCTATTCGCAGCCAAATTAGGAATTACAGCAGGATCTCCTGAGTTCTAATCCCACAAATGAACAATGCTTTTCCCTTATGAGAAATAGTAATTCACTGTGTGTGTTCTGTATTTATAGGAAGGACTGAGAATGCTTATTTCAAGAGATCTAGATTGCACTAATACTGTGTATATCCAGTTTTCATTTAAATTTATAGCAAAAGGTAAGTTTGCTATTTATTTGCTGTCTTTTCAGTAGCTTTGCTCATACATTTTTCTTATTAGAGGGAAGCATTAAGCTTATGTTTGTAAAACTAATACAAGGGGACATTAGATAATGCTAAAGGTTAGAACTTCTATGGCATCATTTCCTGTCTATCTCAGTACCAAATATAACCACTGTATTTAACATTTATTCAAAAGAGGCATGAAGCTAATTATAATCATGCTGTTAACTTCACTCAGTGACCACTTCTATTTTAGACTTCTTTATTCAGGGTTTTATAGCTTGACCTTGAAATAAAATCCATGTTGTAACTTAGTATACCAAACAATTTCTATGTAGAAAATCAAAACTATTAAAAAATCCTATTTTTCAGTACTGTCTCTGAACAAAAAAACAAACAGAATCATGTAAACTTTTTGGAACTGCAGGGATAAGAAAAAGCTTTGGGAAAAATGAACTTAGCAATTGCTTAAAATTCAAGGAGTGACAACTTTTTGCCACCGTGGACTACTGCTTGCAATATAGCTCCTACCATAGGCTGCAGCACCATGCTGCCCCACTGATTAACAAGTGCTACAAAAGAAATAGATAGAAAAAGTCAGGCAATAGGACCCCAGGGATGCTGCCTCAACTGTTGTGGCTGGAGAATGCTGCTGATTCCCTGAGTTGTTACAGACTGGGCCCAATCTCTTCCCAAGCCAGATCCATCGCCTGGGCCACGGGCTGTTAACTCATGGCTTAATTCATAAAAAGATGCTTGTACTGGATGTTTTAGCACAACAATTCCCAAACTTTGGTCTCTTGATGACTGGTGGTCCCTGTCTACATAAATGGTCTGCAGTGAACCATGGAGTTTTTCAGTTAAAAGCTACTGATTTAAATTCATCCCAATTGCTAAGAATCAAAATTAGTCATTAGTTTCCATAGGCATAATGTAAATCAGTATTTATTCCTATAGACATTCATTGGTTAAAAAACAATAATATGCTAGCATCGGAAACCAGAACCCAATGTTTTCCCCTTCCCTTGTCATTGGGCTAGAGAGTCAGGCTCCATCTTGCTTATTCTCCTTCTGGCACCATAAATCTTGCACTTTTGGTTGCCTGGTAAACCAGCTTCAGTAGGAGGGGTGATGGTGCCCCCACTCATTCTGTTTGATAGCCCGATGGTTAGATCACTCTCCTAGGAAGTGAGAGATCTTGATTGATTTGAAACCCCTTGAGCTACAGAGGCCCTAGGTCTTTAACCTGTTTGGATGAGTGCTTTATATCAAAGCAGTTGTGCTAAAGATGGGCAGCATCACCACCAGCCACGTTGAATGAACCATAATATGGTCACACTTTGTAGCGAACTTAGTGTTGTCAGTACAAGTTAGGCTCCTCATTTCTGGGCTCTCTGTCTCAAAGTAACAGAGGTGCCCAATGTGCAACCTTGAGTCAGGATTATCAGCCCTGGAGAGAGGTGGAATTTCAGACATACCCCTCTGGCTAGCTTGCAGGGCCTAGATGTGCTGAGCAGGATCACTTCATTTAGTGAATGCCTAGCTCTCTTCATTTACTGAATAGGGTTTCTAGGTGCTTAGCCCCATCAATTTAGATCACCTAGAGCAAGAAACTTATTTTTAGGCATTGCAGTGCCTAAGTGGAGGCACCTATGAAAGGGATCTAGGTTTGACTATAACTTACTTGTTTCTCTGGTAGAGAATGAGGTCAATATCATTCTCAACGTAATCGTTCTTTTTCAAACATTTTAATGTAGATTCTAAATTGGTCAATTAAAAATATATGGGTGGATTCAATTTGGAGCCTTTCCACCTGTAATATATTTTGGCAGCTTGCTGTGGTTAAAAAGGTTTATGGAAACGAGAAAAACTATAATGAACATGCCCAATAGCCCATGTTTAAAACCAAAATTGTAACACAGAAAGTTTTCTCTTTCAAAATTCCCACTTAAAAATATTAAAAAAACAAAACAGCAAAACATTGCCAGGGTGTTTGAATATGCACTCTGGAGAATTATTATTAGACATGAGTGGGTGAAACATTATGGGCCAGATTCTCATACTCTCATCCTCTTGGTCACCGTGAGCAAAGCCTTACTTCAGAGCACTCTGCAGGTGTAAGAGTATCAGAAACCAGCCCTGCGTCAATAATTAGGTATTACAGAGGGGTTTTATTCACAGCCAAAGGTACATAACATGGGAAAACAGGATGCTCTTTTGATTAAGATTTAGGATTTTAGTCAAGAAACTTGACCTTTATTCTTAAGCCTTCTGCAGATTTCCTGGACCAGAATAAAGTGGGAAGTATTGCTATTTATTCATTAAACTATATCGGTAAAGACCGACAGAGCTCTCTGCCAGTCAATAAGGCAATTCACATGAATAAACTTACTCGCATGAGTGTTTGTGAGGACAAAGATAATGTCTTCTTTATGAGCACATATTGTAGGGACTGTGGTAGTATAGAGGATGATTATATCCAATACTCTGAGCCCGCATAAAAATAAATATTGAGTTAGTAAAAAATATTTGTGGGTTAAGGAAGAAGTATTTTTCCAATATAAAAAATGATACTGAAATTGTTTTGGGATACAAAAATTAACCATATTTTAGAATTAATATTCATGTAAATTTAACCCTTCTGTCACTAGGATATTCCAAACTACCAGCCAAGTATATGCCTAGGAGAATACTATGTATAATAAATGCATTGTCTTGTAGCAGTTATAAAAGTTGTTATAAAAATACACCCCAATTAAATAGGATAGAAATCTTCTGTAATAAATGTCTGAGTAGCTTTATTACATTCATAGATGTGCTTTTAAGATAATATTTCTTAAAATCAGATTATAATAAATTTAAATGTATCCACTTTGCTCTAGGTACTCCAGAGAGGTCACATTCCATTCTGCTACAATACTCCATTAACGGAGGCATCACCTGGCACCTAATAGATGAGTTTTACTTCACTCAAACTACAGATGTTCTCTTCATTAATGTTCCATTACCATACACAGCACAAACCAATGCTACCCGTTTCAAGCTCTGGCAACCTTACAACAATGGTAAATGTGCACTTCCCTTTACTTGTGTTTATCTCCAAACCTTGTACTGTTTCTTTTTCTTGTAATTTGGTCAAATCTGTTGAATGCTCAAATGAAAGCTTTACAGTATCATTACATTTGCACTTTTCTTGCAATGTTCATAATCCTGTGGTTGCTTTTAAAGAAGGTGCAATTTAATGTCAATGGGATAATATATATAAAAGTAGCAAACTGCCTGGCAAGAATGATGGGGGTGGGGGGTGGGGAGAGAGCCCTGCGTCCAACCCCCCTCCATACCCCCCAGTGCTCTGGGTCTGGGCCCACTGTACTCACACCACACCCCCGCTCTGGGTCTGGTCCCACTCTACCCCACCTTCCTGCCACTCCAGGTCCAGCCCCACTCCACACCCCCACACCCCTACCACTCCAGGTCTGGGCCCTCTCTGCCCCCGCTCCCTGCTGCTCTAGGTCCAGCCCTGCTCTTGCCCCTCCTCACTCTGGGTCCAGCCCTGCTCCACCCCCTACCCCCTTGCAACTGCTCCAGGTCTGGCACCGCTCCACCCTGTCCCCCCGCTGCTCCAGGTCCACCCCCCACAAACTCTGGGTCTGGCCCAGCTCTACCCTTCCCCCACACCGCTCTGCGTCCACCTAGCCCACATCCACCTCCCTCCTTCCCTGCCCACTGCCTCTGCCTCCCTGCTGGGGTACCACCATCATGATCCCTCCCTTCACTCTCGGGCAGGGAGGCATGGGGAAGCCCCGCTGCTCAGGCGGCTGTGGTGTGTTCGTCACCGCCATAAACTTCCCCAGCAGCGGCTCAAACTTGGGCCTGCACAGCCCAGGCTGCACAGCCAATTGCCACCCGCCCTTGCAGCAGCGCATGCACAGTTGTCCAAAAGCGTTACAGACAGACAGACACACAGACAGACAGACTAAGCCTTTTATTGTATTAGAATAATCAGGATTTGGTTTCTGAAAGGAGCAAATGTAACTTATGAAATTAAATTTGCTAGGTCCTACTCATTACTCTTAATGGGACTGATTCTCATTTACAGAGACCCCTTTACATTGCTCTGGCCATTTAAGAAGGATTCCTAGTGTAGATGAAAATCAGGCCCAATAGGCCTTGGGATCAAGTAGGTATTAAAAGCGGCATCATAATAAGCAAATATATTGAGTGCATTGTCTTTTAGTGAAGGGAAGCTTCAACACAGTACATAAATCCACAGGGAAGTTGTCTGTTCTTCTTGAGGTTAAGATGTCCCCCATGATGAAGAGGAAATATCTCATTTGTTCTCAGTAACTTCAAAAATATTTCATGGGATGATGATGATATCAAAATTACTGGTAACCAGTACCACCTGGTTTTGTTTCTTATTTGTCTGTTGAGCTTTTTCTTATTACTTGGTTTTAGGGTATATGTGGACAGTGTACCACTTCAGGCAATTAACCAAAACCCAATTCAAATCCAATTTAAAGAATCCTACCACAATCTATCTTTCTGCTAATTCCTTCCTTCCAGCGCATATCCTTAAATAGGAAGTAACCAAGAGAGAAGGCCCTGTCGCCATCTTTCATCCTCGTCTACACCAAGGTCATTACATGGATCGTCTGGCAAGAAATAGTTTTGGGAAAAGCCATCAACTTTCCCAATCAATCCTTCCTTCAAAAATATCACGTCTGTGACACACTGAATTCCACAGCCCTCTTAGGAATGCAGAGAATATCAGCAGTGGTTCTTTTTTTCTCTTGAAGAGGTTTTAGGCATAGTGCAGAGATGATTATTCAGTTCAAGTCACAAAATATAGCACTTAATACTAGTAGTCAGACTACACTTCTGGATAATAGTTTAACAAATTGTTTTTTATAATATACTGAAGACAGCAACGCTAGGCTTTACATATTTTTTACTGCGGAGTACTTACAAAACACAGCTTTATCATGCATTAACTTGTCATGATTTTTGAGCATGTTTCTTTTATAGCCCAATGAGCAGTCCCTCATGCAGACTCTTCCCATGGAAGCAGTGGAACTACTCATGAGGAGAACAGCTCACTGTGCGGGCCGCCTCCCGATCCCGTCCATGTCGCCATGTGCGAGCCAGGAGCGATATGCGGACCTGTCTTTGCGCACGCGGGCTGTGGCCAGCAGCCCAGGCACGCGGGGTCAGAGGAGACCATGCGGCGGCAAGGCACGCACGGGCTAGAATTAGTCACAGAGGCGTAGTGGTTGATTCAAAGATTATTTACTTACACCCAAGATGGTCGCGGTGTAGGCTGGACAGTTTCCAGGTTCAGCTCCGCTTAAATCCTCATTGGAGGACTACGACAAATTCGGTTCTTGGGCCCCGGAGTTGTTAAGGCTCCGCGGGTTCGGCAATTTCTTTCCCA